CAATTCAAATTTTCATTAACAGGTCAAACTTTCAAAATGCTATTCCATACTTATCACTCCTTGCAAATCACTTAAACTGCTGATGGACAACTCAATAATAATAACCACTCAATACCTTACAAGAGGTATAATAATAAACCACGATAAGAAAGCAACACCTTATATTACCTTATATTTCGATGAAGAAATCACATCACTTAGACCAGAACTCTCCAAATGTTCACGACAACTGATATAGATATCTCGCAAATACATCGCTATTTTTGCAATAACTGTATTTTTACGATGATCTATCAGACTCTTCTCCAATATACATTCTTGTGCTTGTGCCTAAACTCGTTCGAAAATAATGCTATCAATATCATCATTGAAAGTGACATTCAATATCACAACACAAACATTTCGTACACAACTCAAACTGAAACAAAATTCGATACAGCAAAACATTTTCTAAAAAATAATGAAACTAACCAATGAAACATTCAAATACCACGTTAGCAATGTCGGTTCGAAATCAATCGATGAATATTTCGATGCATTCATATGATCACGGATTTGTTGAAATGGATATGCCGCACATTGAAAATGCGTAAACGCGTTCTTGATTGACTTAAAATATAAGAGGTTAACATCAGTACAACCTATCAAGTTCAATGTTGTCTTCAACTACTACCGTCATCTCATTACCATCACTAAAACTACTGAATAATTCCTCTAATGGACGGATACTTTAACTCACATCAAGATCGGATCGTGTTTCATTCGCAGCAATACTGGCATGAATGGCACCAATATTGAACATTACAGATATCAATTCAAAATTGACATCTTCGAATGACGTTGAACTCGGCATATCCATCGCTTTATCCATCCTGCAATCAGCTTATTATATTAACTAAGAGAGCAGTTATTCGAATTGATATTTGTGATGTTATAAATTTGGCATCTGTTGAACAACATCAATGATATTATCATGATAACTAGATTATAATAACTAAAAAATAGTGCATAAGTACCATGTGAATGGAATTTTGATCGGGTCACCATCCTCCATTGGGAAACGACTTTTCATCATTGTGAGCTGCGCATAATAACGTTTCATTTGACACACAGTCTCTACGTCCGGTACTAGTCTCGCGAATTGCTATGATATTAGTTCGTAATTAACTTCCAGTTTAACACCGTCATTAACATCACTGCATTTGGTGTTGCATATACTTTTTCTATACATATTTAGAGATTCATCACAGCAAAATTAAAAGGAAGATTTGAGTCTATGAGAAGTCAAATGAAATAAATGGAAAATTACCGCTCTTAAAGACATAATCTCACTGATGGCTGTGTCATACTTTGATGGATCATCTTGATAGTGCATCAGAATATACTGAAATCGAGTTGAATCACTTTTGAACAATCTCGGTGATTTATTAGGATCCCTGATATTAATTATTCAACGTGATTTCCTAGTAAGGAGATGACTAAT